GTTCTCTTTCATACACTCTTTTCTCTCACCAAAAGCATTCCAGTTTTTTAAATTCATTGAAGGGGTTTGAAAAATATTATTCTCTTGTTCTTTACTCTCATTTCAGCACTATTCCTACACAGTTGTTGTTGTTGCTCACTCATTTTCATATAACTGGATTAATTCACTTTCTCTCTCGACGAGCAATTTCCAGCTGTTTGAATTCATTGCATATTTCAAGGGTTCTTGCTCTCTGCTCTCATTTAGACACCATTCCCACCAGCTGGTGTGAGGACTGTTCACATTTACCACCACTTGTCGCAGGTTCTTGCTTTCTTCCGTTTCACATTCAACATTTTTGTTGTTGTTGTTGCTGTTTTACTGTTGTGTTTTATAAGTCAATTTCTCTGTATTTCTTTCTGTCTATGTCTCTGTATGGGTGAGTTCTTTTTCTTTTTAATTCGTTCGTCATCTGTATTACAATGTTGTTGTTCTTACTTGTTTTTCGCAATTGAATGACACTCACTCCTCGTATCATCGTATCATATGGTATTGATTTTCTTCCTCTTTTTGTTCTTCACACTTTTCTTTCTATACATAGCTATTTTGGTTCGGCGTTGCCGATATTATATATTTTACTTTGTTTTTGTATTTCTTAGAACGGATATTTTTCGTTTTCTTGAGAAAGCTCCTAGTGGACCATTGGTGTGCGACTTCTACTTCTCGCCTTCTCCTTCATACCCACCATTCGCCAATTTCTTTCTTTCGTATCGAGTGAAATGTCATTGTATTTTATGACTCCTTCACGGTGAAAACAATTGCGTAAAGAAATGTGTTGCCAAAGATTTATTATTAGCATTGGCTGTGTGTGTATGTGAATGTGTGTTTTGAATGTATTTGACAGTTAGTGCCAATTTTCATGTAATTCCATGCGAATGTCTTCTTCCGGTGCGTATGTCACCCTTTAACCCATTCTAATATTGTGTATTTTTGCCATCCGTGGCGAACAAAAAAATAATATGCTGCATTGCAGCATACAAAACCCCATAGATAATGATTGCGTATTTACATAACCTCAAAAAATGTATGTAAACGTTCATGAAGTTTTGGTGTGGAGTGTATACAAAGTGGTTAAAGTAACACTACGATTCCAGGATTCCTTATTTATTTGTTTATTATTTTTGTAAATACAATCTTTGAAATACTTTTTTGTTAAGTAACAAATATATAAAATCATTTTTAACGCCCAATGACATTCATCAGACCAATGTTGGAAACTCTTATTCTGTTAACTTTCATTTATTATTCACTTGGCCTCGATTTTACCACTTATTACTGTGCTATCGTAATTTAAGTCAATTTTCTTATTATACCTTGCACTATTATCTTGTATGTCTTTGTGAGAATGTTTGTAACATGTATGGAGGATAATGTATGAGGACATATTTCGAATCAATTTCTGAATTCATCGATGTTTTTTCCAATAATCGGTCAGTTTATTGAAAATAATTTCACCTTTCTGTTGTCTATCCGAACAATACGAATTCTTTTAAAGGCAACCAAGATAAGTCGTATGTATCAAGATTGTTTAAAATTCGTAATATGAATCCGAAAGATATAGTATTCTCACCCTTTTATTTCAATTACTTACGGAACATTTAATTAAAGAAGCATGTTTTATGTGTATACTTTCCATCATGAGGTGAAAACGGAAAATGCCACTAATTGTTCGGTACCTTCATAAAGGGCAGGCTATGCAAAAGTAAATTTTTAGTAGGAAGCCTGGCACCCAATAAGAACCAACTTAGAGACTATTCGGTAAAAAAACGTAACCAAAATACCAAATAATGACGGTGGAGGCTATCCTAAAAAGTAGACCGATATCGATAATTTTTGGTAAGAAGATTTTCCACCCAATGTGAGCTCAAAGTCCCTTATTGCATACAAACCAAAATGCCGAATAATGGGGGATACTATTATATGAGGACTATCTTAAAAAGTGAACCAATATTTATGAATTTCGGTAGAAAGATTTTCTTCAAAACGAGAATTCAAAATACTAAATTATAGCCTATTCGAAAAAAAACATGTCCTCAAAAGTGACCTTATTTTTGGTAGCTTATTTTCGAGCTTCGTTTCAAGAATAAAAAACACTAGAATGGTCTTTTATTCCTCCGAAGTATTTTCAATTCCATGGTAATGACCATTTTTTCTAGACTCCCAACCACTTTTTTCCGAATATATAAATGAAAAATTCATACTCAATTTTCATTTTTTCTAATTATAATACTGAATATGGAATAATTTAATCACTGGTGATATTTGTATTCGGTATTACACACAGGTTTTATTATTCACTTTATATATCAAAGAGTTTTGGGATGTGATGTTGATCAAATCGGTTATTCAATTCACTTCAAACTGAATTTACAAGTTTATAAAATATTGAAAAGCAGAAGAGGATCGACGGCTTACACCTTCGAACTTAATCGAGATTTGGTAAAGATAATAGGTTGTGCCAAGTCTGGTTCAAATCGGATATTTCATTCGTCCGATATTAGATTTATAAATGATGCTTTTATTTTGAAAGTAGTTTTCTAGAAAAGTTTACAAAACATATCCAAATTAATGCCACTTACCAATATTTTTGAAACAAATCAAACCCAAAACTTTAAATATCTCAATATAAGAAAAATTGACTTAAACCACTTTCAAAATAAACGACTCAAATATTGACATTTGTAGTGGAGGTACGAGAAAGAGTGATCAGTGGGTCTCATTGTTCAAAGTTTTATTCAAATAGAATAGTCCGTTCGCATGATATTATAAAATTATTTTTTTGCACAATTTTGACCATTTTATGGGGGAGGTACCAGAAGGAGTAGATCGATATTCCTCATCTTTGAACTTTAACAAAATTGGGAAGATATATTATGATGTATAAAGTTTGGATGAAATCGTCTACGTCCTTCGAGAGTTATCGTGCGCACCAGCCGGACAGACGAGCATTTGTAAATCGACTCCATGTTGTCTGAAACGGATTTGGTCCAAGGAAACATGGGATCTAAAACTAATATTTCGATTAGGCACATTTTTGTCGTATCAAAGTGTATATACCCTCATTAGCCATAAGGCTGAGGGTATAAAAATCCGTTACTATCAAAATCTGACCTTAAGGGGACCCCCCCCCATTCTCGGGGTCAAAATTTTTGTTGATATAATTCGAATCTACACTGATTAAAGAATGTCTCTACAAAATTTCAAGTGAAAATCTCAAGAACTGTTGAAGATATATCCGATTTATTGTGTCAGCATCAAGTTACGGCTGAAGGGCTTCTCAAACTTTAAACGCGTTTTTCTCTAAACATTTTTTTGCGAATGGCGGGCACGATAACTCAAAAACTAATAATCCAATCGGTTCCAAATTTTGCAACGTTTCTCTGGGAGTGTATAGCTCTCGTATGAACTAGGATAAAGCCAGTCGGTGAAGATCTTCCTTATTTTTTAACTTGGTTTTTGGTAAAAAATCCGCGATTTTTCAAAAATATTTTTTCAAAGGGCCACCATTTTCTTAATTTTAGAGCGAAGTCAATAATCCTAGTTCATACGAGAGTCAGACATGTACTCTTTCTAACACCGTTGGAATTTTCGGATTCCGATGTTCCAGTGAGGAGTTATCATGCCCGCCATCAAAAATAAGGACTTTTCTTTAATTACAAAAAACAACAACAAAACAATAACAAAATTTTTTTGTAAATTATTTTTCTTCTCTTTTAAATCTTCAATTATATATGTGCAAAGTTACAAACCTTAACAAGCATTGGTATTGATTTACCAGCCCATTGAAAATCTTGAAAAAATAAAATCGAGAATGGGGGGGGTTCCCTTAAGTCAATTCTAAATTGTTCGCTAGAAACCACGACCAAACAATTTACAAAAAATTACCAAAAACAAAACAATTTACAATCATTTGTTGTAAAATGTTTTGAAATCTTTCTTATATGTGTTAAATAATTATTCTTGAGGAACAGCTAATTGACCCGATTTTGGGGAACTAAATATTTCCTTCCATTTATAGACATCTACCGAGGCTACAACTAAGAAATACACGTCTGTTTTAAAATCCGGACTTAAATTAATCAATATTTTAAAATAATATTAATAAATAAACATTGAACTCGCATTCTCTAAATACCGCTAGAATCTATGTGGAAAATAAAATGTAGTTGTTCACTTTATATTTCAGCAAATAACTCCTTATAACGAATACCGTCGCTATCCTTGCATATACATTGGTTATAAAATTGTACAAAATATAGAACATTTGTTTTTGTTTGCTTGTTTTTTTTTCAAGTAGACGACTAATTCGTCATCAACATTACCTCGACGGGTGAATGAGTATTCGCGCGTGTGTGTGAGTCAGAAAATATCAACATTTTTGTTGGCTTTGTTATTGGCAACTTTATATAATGACCTTATTATCCTTAGCAATAAATCCGTTTGTTGTGTGTTAGCCAATACACTTTGCTGCTACAACAGCAACGGCAAAAGGGTGGTGAGTGCCGAATGCAAAAAGGACGAAGACAAAAAACAACAGCGAACGGCAATAGCAACAAAACACCCAGCCAAAGACATGTCTAACTCAAAAGGACTGACTGCATTTGTTGTATTTCGTACAGGTTTATTGCCAGGGTGAGTATGGGGCTCTCTATGTATGTGTGTCAGTGTGTGTGTGTGTGTGATTGTACATGCGGTTCGTCGTTGTCGTCGTCATTCTAGTTGAGTTCTGTTTTAGTGTTGCACTGCAAAATACTGCAGTATGAAATCACTTGAATGGGTTTTGCTTTGTCGTCGTAATATGACCCAATGGCCTGCTTAACAAAAAGCCACTACATATCGTACACTGAATATCATCACGCCTAGTAAGTAGTATGTTGGGGATGTCGGTTGTTGTGTCCTCGTCGTCGTCATATGTTATATCTAAGTTGTTGTTTTTGTTATTTTGCAAAAGGGGTACTTACCTTGTCAACCGGCATTGATGGGCACGCTCTACACAAATTCCAAAATGAGCCGATCATAAGGAAGTGTTTTATTGCTTAACGATGAACTGAATCAATTGAAAGACAAAAACACAATACAATAACAATTCAAATATGATCGAATTCGGTAAGGTCTGCAAATGGTACGCTGCAGGTACGCTTTGCTTTCTTAGAGGGTTAAACAACGAACAATTAACAACATTAATTAACTCTTTTCTTTGTGGATGTCGCGTATACTTGTGTTTGGTAAGATATATACATGTAGTTGGGAGGCGAAGGGGGAGATTACACGTAGTTATATATATGTAGGTATATTTGTTGGTTATTTTTGTAATAAGTTAACGTTCATGTATTTTAACACACATGGCTGGGTTGAGGTATTAAAAACAATAACTTTCATCTACAGGAAGCTTGGAGGTAGAAAAAAAACAAACAAAACAAACCAGAAATATTAAAAATAAATTACAAAACATATTTTAAGGACTTTGAAAATTAGCAATACTTTAGCATACTTTAAGGAGCGTGGCGTAAATGTCAAATCAAGTGTTCTTTCTTACTCTTTGCCGTCGTCGTTGTCTCTTTGCTTCTTATTCTGTTTGCTTTAACTGTTTACTCCGTTCGGTAGAGCAAAATCCAAAAAATAACATACGGAACGGTATTTTGAGGAAGTCAAAAATTCATTCGCAACCGAAGTGCTCTGGCTTTTTTACTCCGGGCCGGGCCGTATTAAAACACTCCGTACGTGCAGAGAACAGTGAAACTCAGAGCACAACGAATATATGATGGCTTAAACTTTGCCTTACACTACAAACACACACTCACACGAACGCATGGTATCTGTGTCTGTGTGTGTGAGTGGGAAAAGCATACACCAGGAAAAGTGGTGATCTCACACATTGAAAAATATAATGTGGAAAATTTTCACTACTTCGTGGTATACTACATACATATGGATAAGGCAAAGAATTTTTAGTTTTTTTCTCGTTTTCCACAAAAGAAAAATCAAAGCAAAAAAGCAGACATTCACAAATTCTCAATGTTCATCCTAAAAGTATGCTTCAATAGAGATGTATGTATGGATTTTCTTCTTGTCATTCATTGGTGGGGATAAGCAGTAAGAAAAATCGTTCAATTAACAGTTAATACGCACACACACTCATACATACAATACACATACACCAACAACACACCGTTAATTCATGTATGTACCGTTATGTTTGTCACTTCGTCTTCTTTTATAGATTTTCGTTTAATTTGCGTTAAAAAAAATTAATTTCTTGTGCTTAAGGTCAAGTAATTATTTTTTTCTTTCTTTCTCTCTTTTTCTTTCTTCGGGTATATGTGTTTTTCTTTTTTTAATTTCTTTTGCTCGAAGCAATAACAACAAACAATTTTTCTTGCTATGGAAAATTTTCTTTACAAAGGGAAGAAAATTCCAATAAATTTTCTATTTGTTGGACGCGCTCGTTGGTGGTTCGACAATGACTTTTGATTTGAAATTTTAACAACTTATCACGACGATTACACGAACACGACTAAAAATTTTGCACTCAGCTTGGTAAATTTGTTGGGCTTATTCTGGTCTGGTCTTGTACAAGCACTCACACACTCACGCACACACCCAAGGCATGGCATGGAATGGAAAAATGAATACCAGAAATGAACAGAGAACGGTGGTGCTTTTCTTCGTAGCGAAAATTGAGTTTATTTTTTGTTATTCTGTCAGTTGACATCATTGTTGACGTTTGCACAGATAGTGGTGAATACATTTGAGGTGGTGGTGAATGAAGCTTTGCAAAGAAAAAGCTTTTTAGCGGGGTTTTACACTTATTGGAATTGGTGTTGAGAGTTTCTCTCTCCCTCTGAATTGAGTTGGAAAACCAACACAGGTAGGAACAAAAAAGTACGAAAAGGTACATAAAATTCTACTTCAATTAATAATAAATCATAATTATCGAGAAATATTGGCCAATATTTATACCAGTTAAATAATATATGTTATAATTTAAGCGTAAATGTATTCACGAATAATAAAAAAATCTTCTTTTTGGTTTGGCATGTTTATGTGAATTCGTATCTTTTGTGAACAAAAAGTACGCTTGTTACAAAATTAAAAATAGCGCAACTCTAATTACTCTCTCAAGATAGGAAAACTCTCAACACCAATCCCAATAAGTGTAAAACCCCGCGTATAATGGGGATCACACTGTGGTAATATTGTCCTGGTGGCCCAACTTCGTATGCGATTGTTTTTTTTTTTAATAGCCTGTTTTTGTAAAATTCGAAACGAAACAATTCGAATGAATTGCTACCAAACCTTTATTTATGTAAAAATATGTTTCTTGCTTCAAAACAAAAATAAATGACATATTTTTCAAAACCAAGGAGTTTAAGTCACTCGAATTCGTTCGTTTAGAATTTTACAAAAACAGGCTGTGAATCAAATTGAGGATACTTTGTACATGTTTAAACGGCATTTACACTATAACTTTTTACAGGGTTAACCTATTTTATGACGATTTATTTGACTTATATGCCATGCAATTGACAATTTAAACCCATTGAATTAACGAACTCCAGTGCAATGTTAACCTACTATTATATTTGTGGAAAATGTAAAATAGATTTTTTAGAAGGACAATCGTCACCGTCTATGCAAATATTTTGTATTGCTTTGGCGTAGTTGGCGAATAAATACTTCACATTTAGTTTACACATGTAGCTTTTGTAAGCAATTGTGCTGCAACTAGGCCGAGGAGTTCTTATGAGAGGGAGGTAAGAAGAATGGAAAGAATTAAGAAATTGTTCATACATATTTTATTGTTCTTTCATTTTATTATTAATTTGTTAAAAAAAACACGTCCACAACAAGGTATATATATATATATATATATTTAACCCTACGGTCAATAACCGGGTACATTTGTACCTTTTTTTGAATAAAAATGCTGTAAATTTTTTAATAATGGAGATATTTGGATCAAATTTTGAGGAATCATTCTTGAGGTATTTTCACACATAATCGAAGAAAAAAATTATATATATTTTCCATATATCTATTTTCTACAATTTTTTAAAGTTATTACCTACGTAGATCAATAACCGTGGTACATTTGTACCCATCCAAAGATAGATCTGTAACACATTAAAAAACGATAACGATAGTCAACGTGAGGTTTTTTATTTTAAATTAGTCTATACGGATCTGATCTACATGTAGGAACTCAAAATTATATATACATTAAAATAATATATATTTAAATCCATTCTTAAATGATAATCTATCTAAAACAATCATAGTAAATTCGTTATAGCTTTCGAATGGGTTAAGCTTTTATAGTTATTTTTTTATTGGTATCTTATTTAGGTGTTGCCCAACACCTCTCCCTTATACCAAAGGAAAACCAAGGTAGTTTCTGATTTCCACGAGTCGCCATGATGGTCCCATGTTGTCTAGGGCCACAAAAATTTGCAGAGGGGATGAGGAACACCTAAATAAGATCCCAATAAAAAAAAACTAAAAAAGCTTAACCCATTCGAAAGCTATAACGAATTTACTATGATTGTTTTAGATAGATTATCATTTAAGCATGGATTTAAGTATATATTATTTTAATGTATATATAATTTTGAGTTCCTACATCTAGATCAGATCCGTATAGACTAATTTAAAACAATAAACCTCACGATAGTCCAATTTTTTAATGAGTTACAGTGCTATCTTTGGATGGGTACAAATGTACCACGGGTATTGATCTACGTATACTTTTTTGTTTATTGACCGTCGGGTTAATAAGGTAGCAGCATCGGCCCAGCTGTTGGTGCAAATAAATGTCAAAAATGTTGTTGTAAAGTAGAACCAAAAAATTAAAAAACAAAATTATAAAAGAAAATCTCCGAATTTCGAAGAGCTTCTTTAACAATACTTTTATTAACATTTTCTACAAGAATTTGTGTAAAAAGATCTTGTGAATCTGTTTGTTTTGGCAACAACCGATGTTTGTTGTAGAAATTCGCCTATGCGACTACCTTATATATATTCTTTGGTCCACCACAATCTTTGAAAATATTAGTTTTTTTTAACAGTTCTTCCATACAGGGTGCGCAAAAATTTGCTCGCGAGTGATTCAAAATACGTTCTTTGCTTTTTGTGCTCATTTTACGAATGAATTATTATATGGCGATAAATTCTTTACCAAACGAGCGTTCGCCAAAGAATGTTCGCACCAACATAACAAACGAGTGAGAGCACACCACAACGATCGTTCCTTTCGTTTGGTGGTTGAAATTCTTGAAATTTAGTTAAAATTCACAGAAAAATAAAAAAATGAACCAGTCGACTAGGGATCTACAGATCGAATCCGCCTTTTAATGCAAAATCTACGTGAATTACGTGCGCACGTACACATCGTACGTTTCGAGTAATTCCATAAAATCGATTAATCGAAAACGAAGGAATATGAAGGAACAACGAATAAAAAGAGAATACCAAAACACAGAGAGATTTGTTTTCGGTCGATTACTCGATTAGTCGGATTCTTGTATTCAAAGTGAGCGGTCGTTGGACGCAGTACATGTTAACTTTGCTTAATTATAACAGAAGAAGAAAAAAACTATTACTTGAGTTGTTGTTTGTGTACTTGTGTTTTTAGTGAAAAGTTTTGTTGTTTTTTGGTGAATTAAAATAAATCAAAGTGATTAGAGCGCAAAGTATGCTTACTTAGGCCTGTAGCAAAAAGTGTATCGAAAGCAAATAAATTTCACATTGATGTGAAAAAAAAGAAAAATTGCAACCCCACAAATAAAGCTTGGGATGGAAAATGTGCAAACAACCTTGAAATCATGAATTAAATCCCACGAAAGAAAGGTAAATAAATGAAGAAGAGCATTTCAAGTACTCAAGTCGGTACATAAAAACAGTAGCCACCAACCAAAAAAAGAAAGTACACACAAGAAAACAATACAATAATAACGAACTATTAAAGAAGAAAACAAATGCAAATAGTGGTGGTATATTATATTTTCGTGTTTTTGTTGCTGTTTTTGTTAAGCTTGGAATGTGCATTACATTCTATTCTATTTTTCATGGAAAAGTCGACGACGACGTGAGCAAGTGCTGTATATTGAAAGATGTCTCAAGTGAATCTGAAGGATAACCAACCGATAATGAAAAGACAGGATAAAGTTTTTGCTGCTGCTGTTTTTGTTGT